AAGACAAAAATGGCTGCTTCAAAACACTCACAGAATAGTTAGAGAAGAACCAGCCCAGTAAAGATTTAAAATATGGTGAGATGTCGAGTTTTTCAGCAGAGATCAGTAAAAGGAGCTTTAAGAGCACAGAAAATAATGGGCCTACCTCTTCCTTCTCTACACAGGAGGGTCTCTCTGGGCACCAGTAATAGCTAATATTCATTGAATATCTCTGTACTCCAGGCACTGTTGCAACCATGTTGCATGTATTTACTCAATTATTACAACTCAGTGAAGCAGGTATTTTTGTTATCATCCCCATTTTAAAGATGAGGAAACTGAGTAACAGAGAGATTAGTAACCTGCTTATGGACACACTGATCTGGCCTCAAAGACAGGCAGTCTGAGTGTAGAGCCCACGCTTTCAACCATCTTGTGATCCGCCTTTATGTTATTAAAAGAAAGTTCAGGATCTTAAAATAAGAACATACAAAAAACGCTGGACTGTTGAGCGGGGGGTTGGGTGCATTGTATGGACAGGGCTAGACAGAACTAGAACCATCTTCAGTAGTCACAGTACTGGCAATAATTATATATGAGGTGTGACTATAAAGTCATGAAATAGCTTAACATATATTACGTGAGGGTGGTCCCTTTCCAATCAGTCATCTTGGGAAGCTGTGCTTTTATTCCACCAATTTCCCATTGCCTAGAGTGTGCTGGGAATGCTCTTCTAAAGAACCTTCAGAATAAGTCACGGTGCAAATCTTAGTATCTTAGGATCATGCCTCATTTTTGTCTCAGATGTGTTTCCAAGTCGGATCACTCACCCTATTTACTGAATTTGGCTCTGAATAACGTATACCTGTTTGCCACAATAACATCCACTCTCAAATCCATTCTCAAAAAATAAATGTATGTTTCTATTTACCAGGTGATTCTGAAACTTTACTGTATGCTTAAATATCATCCAGGGGAACTTGATTAAATAACACATTAAAGCCCCACCCTAAGTAATTCTGATTCAGTTTGTCTGAGGAAAGGATCAGGATCCTGCAGTCTTTAACGGGCATCCTGAAGACCACACTTTGAGAAATGCAGCTCTAAGTATATCCAAGAAAAAGGGTAGTGATTCTTAAGGCAGTTCCAAAAGAGGAATTCCAAAAGTGTTCTCATCAACAGTGACATCAGTGTCATGTATCACCTACCTTGAGGGACTATTCTCCTGTACATGATGCTTACTTAGAATATGATGTTCAGTTATATTTATAAAAAGAATCAGCCACCATTCTTCACAGTCACACCACACACACCCAATTCACCTGTGTCTTGGGCAGGACACATTTCAGGTGTTCGTTTGCTCACCGATCTACTTGGTATCCTCCTTTTGCAAAAAGAGGTGTTCCTTTCAGAACCAGGTAGATCATGAAAGGATCCAGTATTGGAAGATCCAGCAATATGTATACAAATTATTACTTTTTTGTCCTGAAAAGGGTGGGCTTCTTTCACTTCTTGGAGCTGGATCACTAAACCCCAAGAGCAGGCATTGCAGATCCGATTTCTGTTAGTCATATCCTCAAAGACCAGTTTCACCAAGGTGATGGGTTATCCTAGGATAATCACAGTGGCAGGGAAGTTCCAGAACCAACTTTCCTTCATGTTGGGATATGTTACATTTTTGTCCCTTCCTGAATCCACATGAATACCTAAATTAGCCCTCCATTTTTTGTCAAGTTGCCTGATTTTAACAAGCATAATTCTCAATGAAAATGCAAGAACTTCTGAGCTGCCTTACTTTTTATTTATCAATTGTCCTCTGTCTCATTCACTGAAGAGAATCTCATACACCTGGAAATTGAAATCCAACGCTATGGCTTCTTTAATAAAACAAATCTGCATTTCACAGGTGGGTCCTGACTCCATCAGTGTCTAATGTGGGGCAGCTCCTTTAAGGCCTTACTCCATCACAGGGTAGAGGTTCTAGTTTCTCTAGTCAGGTCCCTTGTCCCTTGGAGCCCTGACATCAGCCGACTGTATTTTGTCTGGACCCGAGGATCCCAAATTATCCGCCTTAAAAAAATGTGCACATTCTATGATTTTTCTGGGGTCGTTTAACTTATATTAAGCTCTTGAGTGGTTAAAAGCTTACTGAACGGTGGAGAGAAGGACTTCATTTAGATTCCCGTGAGCAAAAGTTTAGGAGAGGAAGAGGTGACAGTTGTATTTTTTTTTTTTTATCCCAGTCTTTCTCTCTCTCTTTAACATTAACAAGGAAGCTATGTTTTCTTTAAGAGCAACAGAGACAACACAGGGATGACAGGTTGAATCAGATCACTATCAAAACAGCCTGGACAGTGGGAGCAGTGATCAGATGACTGCCCACATCCTCTGTCTTCGCTCTCTCTTACTTCCACGTTTCCTCTCTTCCTATGTAGGGTTGCCAGATTTGGAAAAAATGAAATAAAAACAGGATGCCTAGTTAAATTTGAATTTCAGCTAAATAAAGAATAATATTCTAGTATACGTTTTGTGCAATATTGGGGACCTATTGTACGGCCCTATTCCACGTGTAGTCTCTCCCACACAATTCAGTGCTCTTGTTTTATTTTCTTGCAGTTTTCATATGCAGATTTGTTCTTCAACTGGATCAAAGGGTCCTGCAGGCGGGATCTTATTTGGTATTCCTCAAGGCACCCTAGATATTGACTTCCCTATTTGGGGGCCTATGTTAGATTTTTCAAGTGTTTCCTCTTACTGCAAGTACAGAACACCCCTGAGCTCCTTATATCTTTCCTCTCACACCTGTGAGGTCATCACTTCACGAACAATGACAGGGCTGAGCACAGAGCTCCGAACATAAGTGTACCATATATTTTTATGAATGATGGATGAACTGAAAGCAATTTGTTGTCTTCTTAAGAGTCAGTTAAATTAACTACTTACCTGCACACCAGGAGTTCGTAGTAAGCTCCATCTACCATGCTGTCCATCTGGGAAATTAATTACCCTTCTCTTATTATAGTCTACCACCCTTTTGTTTTTTTATTAATCTCAAGGAAATATTTTCCTTTTCAACTGATAGAGTCAATATTCAATAGAACAAGGGTTGTGAGGGAGAGGGGTCAGACTACATGGATAACCCCAAATTATAATTAAAACTGTAGTCATTTCTTTCTTATGCAAAGACAGGTTAACAGTGTTCTGAGGCCCAACTGGGTAGTTAGGCTTGATTATTCGGCAGCTGCTGATTAGGGCTGATTCCCCCTTACCAACTAACGGTATTTTAAATTTCTCTAAATTACCTGAGTCCTTTGGAGGCAAATAAAACTTGTCTTTCACATATTAAAAAAAAAAAAAAAATTACCCTTCTCTTTTGGAAAGATAAGAGGATGGAGGAAGGGAATGGGGTTGGTAGGTACACCTAGATTTGCAAATCTGTGTTATGGCTCAGCCAAAAAGATGGAAATAAAATTGTCCTGATAAATAGGGAGTCATTTCAAAATGTGGAACATTGACTCTCAAAGAAAGGACAGATATCTTGCATATTATATATTACCTACTTCCATCAGCTTTTCTAAAATTCTAAATTTCTTCTATGGCATGTTGGTGTTGCAGCCACATTATCTACAGTATCCTGAGAGTAAGAAAGAACTGTGAAAGCCAGTGGAACAATATAAATGACAAAATGTTCAACTCACATTCAAAAGCTTTCCAGCATGTAGAGTAATCAGATAACAAGGTGCCTTTTTACACACTTTGTGCTTCGATTAATCATATCATTTAGATCTTCCTTCATAAATGACACACAGCAGGCTTCAAACCTTAAAGAGTGATGAATGCCCTCTCTTGGTTCAGTGCTTTTCAGGTATAAAACGCACAGAAGAGTGAACACATATTTAGAAGTATCTAGATGATTAGTTTTATGCCAGCTAGGCTTGTCCAAGGCAGGCTTGTCAAGATGGTCCGCAGAGACCCGGCTCCCCCTTTTGAACCTTTTCCTCTAGTCCATACCTCCCTACTGCCCACTCAGGTCCCCTGCATCCTTTGGAGAGTAAAGATAGGCCGGGAAACTGCCTTCAAATCCCACCACGGTGCCCTGCTGAGAAAACTGCCCATTTGACTGTAGACAGAAATGACTGTAAATGAAATAGCTGCCCAGCTCACCCTAGTAAACAAACATGATCTTGCTGTTATAACCATCGGTGAAATCCATAACTTCATGTAGCTCTACGTGTTCTCAGTGTCCCTGGAATCAGACCAGAAGAATAAAAGCTGAACATGAGAATTCATGTTAATTTCTTACCAACTCCAACACCTTGAATGTAAGAAAACAAAGTTCATATGAAAGTAGATTATCGCATATATGTGGCAGAAATCCAACGTGATAACCCCAAGACTCAAGATGTGATTGAAAAATCTTTTCTGGAATGTTTATGCTTTTCAGTCAGCTCATAAATCTTATCCTCCAAAGCTTGTACCTCTGGTGTCAAGTGAATTTTAGCCCATTCACCATTTGATGAAAAAAATAAGAATGTTAGGATATTGATTTTATCGGGAAAGAGACCAAATTAAACTTATTTTTTAATCCGGGTGCACTCCCCATTTTTATTATAAATACATAATGAAACAATTAGGTGAAGATTGAAATAAACGTTTGTGTTTTATTCATGCTAAAAGTATTTGTTCTGTCCTTCAGGATGAAGCCTTGTAATACTTTTATAAATTCCTTAATATTAAAATAAGCCTTACTGTGTTTCCTTCAAAAATTTTTTTATTGGGTGATTGAGTTTGGGTGGGGAGTGAGCCTAATGATTAGAGAAATATGGCAGTTCTAGGTCATTTTTACTCAAGAGAGTGGAATGTGTTGCTTAACTCCAGAGTGTCTTAGATCTCTGATTTGGGGAATAAAAACTGGAATAAAATTATTCCCAGGACTCTAGCTCTGTTTATTTGAATAGTATTTTTATCTATCTGATTTGAATTCAAATGCATTACTAACACTTTTCTTCTTTTCGATATAGGTGGGAAACAGACCAAAATATTATGGAAGAGAGTATGTATTATGCTATTCATTGTTTTAATAATGTAATAAGTAGTCACTTCCTATGTCATTTAAATATTAAATATTAAAATTTTTCCAATATGTAGTCTTCATCAAATGTCCATTGTGCAAGAGTTTAATAATAAGGATAAATGCAATCAGATCCCTTTGTACTGAATTTTCTTATAATATTCAGGTGCTTGGCTTCATGAATGTGGGAGGGAGAGTATCTCCTGCTACATTCAGTTCTCTTCACAAAAGCAGCCACTGAGTGCCTGGCAAGTATTTGAAACGTAAGGCGTAAGGCGGCGTTTTTCATAACTGTGGCTCTCTTAGTATTTCATTTCACTTTTACTTCAATACTATATAAACAGCTAGGGTGTCAAAGAATGTAAACTGAGGCTGAATTCCTTACTTTCATCTACCTCAGTAAACACAACACTCAGGAAAGTCGTCCCATTTCCTTGCAGTCTCCTAAAACCAAAATGATGATTTCTCTTGACATGGATCTATTAGCCAAATTGCCTTAATACCATAATTATGATTTCCCCCATTTTCCTCTGTTTTTTTTAAGATTTTTTTTTTAATGTGGACCATTTTTAGTCTTTATTGAATTTGTTACAATATTGCTTCTGTTTTATGTTTTGGTTTTTTGGCCACAAGGCATGTGGGATCTTAGCTCCCCGACCAGGGATCGAACCCACACCCCCTGCATTGCAAGGTGAAGTCTTAACCACTGGACCGCCAGGGAAGTCCCCCCCATTTTCCTCTTAATTTCATCTCTTGTTTAACTTTCTCAGAAACCTACTGCAAAGCAAATACGCATTACCATAAAAATAGCTGGCAGTCTCAGCCTGTGGCATGGTGCACAGCTCACAGCAGGCAGAACCACCCAGACAGAGCAAAGGGCGGAGGCGGAGGCGGGGAGGATGTCAGTCAGATGCACAATTCGATTTTCTTCCCATGTCCCACCTGGAGGCATTATAAGGTTAAAGTCTCTTTCAGCTCCCAGAGCTCTCCCAGCCAATCCAAAACCTCCTTCCTGTATTCCCTTACCCATCAGAGCTTCACTTCCGTGATGAATGACCCTCTTATTTGTCCCAGTTCAGCAGCCTACTTCCTAACTGCCACGGCTGCGTTTCTGAACCTTCCTACTGGGCCTTGGGAATTCAGCTGGGGGCTCTGGAATACCTGCCTGCATCACTGGCCTCCTCTCCCATGTCCCTAACATCTAACCTGGTTGTAATAGGACTTATTTTTCTTCAGTATACTGATTTGGATTTTGCTCATAGAGCAAAAGAAAAGAGAATTAATTTTAAAAAGAGAAAATGAAAATCTATTCTATACTTCTCAAACAGAACATTTTAGTACATGAATTCCAAAAGAAACTCTATTTATTGTTTCCTTCCCTTTTTTGCATAAAAGTTTTGTTGAATAACCTTCTAGTTTTCATAGTCCAACCTCCCCCCCCCCATCTACATAAACTATAGAGTGAAACGAGACCAAAGAAACATTTTCTTAACCATAAAAAAAGGAATATATGGTATTAGAGGAAAGTTAGCTTAAAAACTTCATATTCTGTGTTTCCCTTTCTTTTTTAAAAATGAAAGTTTTTGTTGTTCCATTCAAAAAGTAAGACATGCTCTATTCAGGAAACATATATGCATATTTTTTTCCTAGAAAGAATCACAAAAAAGTGTGTTCAATAGATACCATTAGGGAAATGGAATTTTTATTTCTCTACTGTTTACATTTTTATTTCTTTCGTGCCTTTTAACTTTCAAATTTTGAATTTTCCCACTGTGGGTAGGTATTACTTTTGTTCTTAAAAAGTTAATCAATTAATGCCCAATTAATTTGGGAAAATTAGAGCATATAGGAATCTACAAGGTTGGAAACACCATAGCCCCACCATGAAAGAGAAGCATTGTTAACTTTTTCCCCTTCATCTCTTTCTTCCCAGTCTTTGTGCAGGCTCTTTTTTTTTGAAAAGTTGGGATCATAGATATATACATGATGGGTAGTTTTAAATCCATGCCTAAAGGGGCTGATGAGCCACACACTGGGTCTTCAGATGCACAAGATTGTCATTTTCTTCTTTTGAACAATTGAATTTAACTTAGTTCTTGACACCTGACATCTGCTGCTGGCCATCCCTGAAACACGTCCATTCAAGGGAGTTCAAACAAAGCTGCTTTCAGGTTAACTGCCTATTTGGGATATTCCTTTTCCCAGTTTTTTTTTTTTTTTTTTGCCCTTCTCCCCCCAGAGAGTGACCTGGGTCAGGGGTGTCAGGTTTCTGTGCCCTTCGCTGCGTGTGCCTCTTTCTGCTATGGTCACCCCCTGCCCTGCCCTGTCAGGTTGTATCCTGGACATCCCAGCCTCAAACCTCTTGTGGCACCAGCTTTTGTCCTCTCTGATGTGGGAAACTTTCCAATGCCCTCTGCCCCTCTATCCTCTCCATGTCCCTCCCACCTCTCTCTCTCTCTCTCTTTCTCTCTCTCTCTCTCTCTCTCTCTCTCTCTCTCTCTCTCTCTCTCTC